AATCTGCTGTGGTCAAGTTTAATCCTGGGAAAAGAGGCCCTGGAGAAAGCAGATGAGGAAGATAGGAAGGAAGATAGGGAGGGGGGAGGCGCTGGGCGTGGAGGGAGGTAGGGGGCGGAGGGGGGAGCTGGAAAGTGAGAGGGAGCAAGTACGGATCCTGGCTACGACGGCAGGGAGGAGGGCCACTGGGTGGGAAAGAAGTGAAAGTCCGGGAGAGGAGGAGGAGGAGGCAGAGCTCGGTGGGGCCCGACGGGACCCCTGGGCCGCGGAGGCGGCGGCGCGGGGCAGTGGGCTGCGGTGGGAGACAGCGTGGCCCGCGTCGCGGGGGGGGCCCTCGTGGCAGCCTCGGGCGTTGGCTCCTCGGGGCTCCCTCCCTCGCCGGCGCATTGTTCCTTTGCCGGGAGACGAGGAAATTGCCTTTTGATTGCGGAAGTCCGCGGCCGGGGCCCGGGGCGAGGCAGCGCGGGTCAGCATGGCAGCGTGGGAAGGGCGGCGCGCCGCCTGCCCCCGCCGCCTCTCGCGTCCGCAGCCCGCCCGGGGCGGCAGCAGCAGCAGCGGCAGCAGCGGCGGCCCCTGCGCGTCGCCAGCCGGGAGGAAAGCGCGGTGCGCCCGCGGGGCGCGCTGAGCGCTCGCAACAGGTGGCCCCTCGCGCCGGCCGTCGGGGCTGCCCCGCGCCCCCAGCCCCTCTGCCGAGTCCGGGTGGTCACCGCCGAGCGCGATGCTGAGCCATGGAGCCGGGCTGGCCTTGTGGACCGCGCTGAGCCTGCTGCAGGTGAGTGGCCCGACAGGGGTCGCGGGCGGACGCGCCCCTCCCCGCCGACGACCAAAGTCCCACTCCGCTGTCGAGTCGCCTGGGTTGTGTTTTGCAGAGGGAGACGGCAGGATTTCTTCCTCTCCTTTGGGAAGAAAGATCCTCTTCTGAGCCCCCAGCCGGGACTGACAGCTCACACTACTTCAAAGGCGCAAAAGCCACCTTCTTTCTCCAGCTGTTCCCGGGAAAGAGCAGCTAGGGAGAAAGTTGCCACCCACCTTCTCCGCGGGCCTTTTCTCTGGCTGGAGGGCAAAGGGATGGGCCGAGGCTGGGGCTGAGGGCTGAGGAGGCGGCTTAACGACCTTGCAGTGGACAAGTTCCTGGGCAGTCTAGACTGTGGGCTTCACCTGCCTCTGGTTCCTTTGCAGGCTGGTCTGGGGGAGCCAGTGAGATGTAACGTCACCCTGACAGAGTCCAAGGTCTCCAGCAGGTCCGTGTCTCTCCAGTGGAGAACTTTGGGGTCACCCTGTAACTTCAGCCTCATCTATAGCAGTGACATGTCAGGGGTCGCATTGTGCCACCCCACGCGGATAGACAACATCACCTATGGATGTTACCCCAAGGATTTACAAGCGGGAACCATCTATAACTTCAGGATTGTGTCTCTGGATAGAGAAGAGAGAACTGTAGTCTTGCAAACAGGTAAGGGGCGACAGGTGCAGATGGGCAGCCAGGCCACTCTGGGCTGAGCCCTGCCTTTTCAGGATGGTGTTTCATTTGAGTTCCAGGCAGACAAAAATTAAAGGTAAAAATACCTGTGAAGATCAATATTGACCAAGATTTCTAGTTTCTTCAGATCTGGCCAGAAGCAGCTTGGTTGACTTTGAGAGATTTCCTTAGTGCCGAAGACAGCGGACTAGCCCTTTGAAGGGGAGCACAGCAGACAGGAGCTGTGGGCTGTGGGGGGAGTTTGTTAAATTTGTTAAAATGATGTGGTTTGAGCTCCCATCACATTAAATTGTCAAGCCCTGGAATAATTTTAACTTAATGTTTTTAGAATAAATAATGGAAGTGCAGTGATTAGGGATATGCCTTCCCTCAACTTAGTTTTATTTTTGGAACCAGGACATAAAATCTTCAGGAGTAGAATAGAGCCATTCATAGGGGAGAATTGGAAAAATCCCATCAAACAAGGGCATGAAAATTAATTTGTATAACTTGAATAACTAAAACAGCGTAATATCAGAGAAAGTCCTTCAGTTACTCTGGGCTTCAAATCATTTCTTTTCCTTACACTTTTGGCAACCCTCGCAAGGAATAAATGGTAAGAGTATATCTCTCCAGCCTCAGTTTTCTTGTCTGTAAAATAAGAGTGTCAGGCTTGGTCATTCAGGTCCAAGTTCTTACCAAGTGCCAAGCACTTGGCACTTACCTCCTTACTCCTCTCAGCTACCCGGTAACCGTGCTCTAAATTCTCTAACAACTTGGCTGTTTGATGACGTCATCAGTCCTCCTTTTAACAATATCTTTACTTGTTGCACCAGTGAAACTTTAAACTTTTATCCGGGAAGGTCAATTTCACAGAAAATTTCTGGAAGTCAAATTGTAGAAATGTGTTGTCTTACTCCTAGTTCATGGTCAACCTGAACAAAGGTTACTTCCTGAGCTACAGTTCTTTAAAAATGTGTGAGAGCTTTCAGCTCTCAGGGCAGCTACAGCTGGGTCAGGAAATGTAGCTGGATTCGTGTAATAAGTCAGTCAAATATCAACTCTCTTATTTTTTCAAAGAAAAATTAAGAATGCCCAGTTACATCACTTGGCTTGCTTCAGATGAAACATCTAGATAATTTCTGAGATTTGCAGGAAAGACTGAAATCAACCATATAATGAGAACATTTTACAGACGTTAAGGGGCTGGGGTTTTAGTCATAAAGTTGTTGGTGTCTCAGTTTGTGAGGATGGTTTTGTGAACACTCAGATTGCTAACACTGTGACATTTATGGCATAGAACTTCCAGATGTGTATACTGCATTTGCTAAGATGTCTGTTGAATGGGGCAGAACGATTTTTAAAAATAGGAAAAGGACTCACTGTGGGTGTTATGAGTTAGAATGCGCTCCAAGTTTAATTATGCATGTAGGTGTTCCAAGTCCAGAGACATTTGTGAAATGTAAGACATATTTGCATTTTATTGACTATGTTGAGTTAAAAAAAAAAAAGACTCCATTGGCATTCAGGCTTTCATCATTTTTCTTAAGGAGTTACTTTTTACAGTATCACAAATATACTTTTCACCACAAATTTTATGAGCTCCCTGATACATGTGAAGAATGAAATTTGCAGGTGATGTTTATATAATAATATTTTCCCCCCATACTTATTTGTACAATGGTAGAAGACTTAGGATTCTCTACCCTTTAAAAATAACTTAACTTACATAAACATTTTTTACTTAAGATATTTTTAAAATCTTCCAGGAAGGATTTTTTTGGTTGCCTGTTACTTGTTTTTTGTCATTGGTGCTTTCTATATTTTAAGGACACATGTGAATTTTTCATTTATTTGAGAGAAAGTATAGTAGTTCTCTAAATTGCCAGGCTATAGAGATGAACTCTACAAATCCTATTTTACTGATAGTAAAGCAGGACCAACTAGTAGGGTAATGTGAAGTCTGAGATACAACTTCAATCAAAAAAAAGCTACTCAAAATGTATTGGTCTTTCCTTATTCCATTTTGCCTGTCTTCTCAGTCTAGAATAAAATAGAATGAGAACAAGACATGATTTGACTAGAGATACAACAGTTGCTTAGATGATCTCTGTATCATTCCAAGTGTGATTTGTCTGATTGTTTTTCCTGAGGAGTTGTCTAAAATAGCTAATTTATTGTCATGTAGACATGACCGTAAAGATAAAAAAGTTTTAACTAAATGGGAACTATTTCAGCAACAATCAGTTTTCACTCCAGATTTTAAGTCAGAATTGAAGAACATCCGTGGATTCAGCAAACATTTATCAAGCATGGATCCTGCAGGGAATCATGCCAAGTAGTGACTGGTGCACTTATAAGGATGCTGAACAAAACGTGGTCCCAGCCCTTGCAGTCTTGTGCAGAGGCTGGAGAAGGTCATGATGAAGGTAGGAACAGAGCTTCATCACTTCTTTCCCAGATGAAGACCTTGCCTGCCTCGTGGATCCCACACTTCCATAATCATAGAAAAGACATTAGGCAGTTCTCGGGTTTCTTTAGTCATTAAATGGTTGATGCAACAGCCATAATAAGTTGAAAGCCAACTTATTTAGTTGTGAATTCACTGGAAATCAAATAATGAAGACAACAGATATGGAAAAATTCCAACACTTTTGTAACACTGTGTCCTCAGAGTCTAAGCAGAGAGCTACAAACTGGTAGCCCTTAGGGGTGTCTAGGTGTCTAAATAATACATTTGTTTCATTTGGCTCACGTAATGTTTTTGAAAAATCCAGATTATTTCACCAGCACTATAAATGGCAAATTTACAAAAATACCAGCTTTTTGAAGGTTCCCTCAAAACACTGGAAGATTTGGCAAAGCTAAACCGGTCTGCCTAGAACTCTCTAGAGCTAAGCTGTAGTTTCTCTCCTTTTAGATACCAATCCACTGGAATCCCCCTGGACCAGTTCTTTATTTCTGTACTTAAATGCATACTAAGGGCACTTGAGTTTATTTAAATGAAACTGTAGAGTTTTCATTCAGAACTTTTTGGGGGCTTTTATCTTCCCAGAAATAAGAAGTGGTTTTTCAGTATCTAAAATGGCAACCAGCACATCGTATTCAATAAATATTGATTAAATGGATGGATAGATGGATGAACAAATGGATAGCTGAATGAGTAGATAGATAGATAGATAGATAGATAGATAGATAGATAGATATGAATGAAAGAGATGAATATTTCAGTGGGAGAATGTATATATACTAAAAATATGATCTGTTGGGTTATAGATAGTTATAGAGCCTTAGGGAAGTAGTCCAGTAGTAGAGAACTTTACTTATAGGAAGAATATCTTACTAGCACACGCCTTCTTGTTAGTCAGGTTCAGCTACTAAATAATCAGCCTAGAACAAAGAGTGAAAAACAATGAGCTCTTTTAATATGGCTAATTCATTTGTCTTTAGTACACTTCAGGAACTTTAATCACCAAATCACCATATCAGCTACTTATTTTCACTTCACAGTGTTTTACTTTTACCAGGGACCCTATGACAAAATACCAGACCAAATGCCTTAAATGACAGAAATGTAGTTTCTCAGAATTCTGGAGGCCAGGAGTCCTATCCCAAGTTGTCAGCAGCTTTTTTTCTGAGGAATCTCTAACTGGCTTGCAGATGCCCACCTTTTTGTCGTGTCTTCTCATGTTTGTTCCGTGTCCGTGTTCTCTAAGGACACCAGTTATATTGGATTAGGGCCCACCCTAACAACCTCATTTTAACTTCATTACCTTGCTAAAGGCCTTATATTCACACACAGTCACATTCTGAAGTACTGGGGGGTTAGGGCTTCAACACCTGAATTTTGGAGGGACACAATTCAGTCCATACACTTACAGAGCTTTAAACATCAGCCAATACTTTTCAATAATGTCTGTAAGCTACTTGCATCAAAATCTTTTGCAGAGCCTCTTATAAAAGCATATATTATTGGCTTCTACCCCACATGTAACAAATTTAGAAGGAGTGGAGCCTAGGGTGTCTGATTTTGAACAAATATCACAGTGAATCAGTGTACAATGAAGTTCAAGAGCTATTGACATAGTTTTTCTTTTATTCACTGGCATTAAGATTCTGGTACCATTCCTCCCTATGCATGGCTAAATCTATAATACCTAAGAATATTTATTATCTTTCCCAGGAAGAAAATAATACTCTAATATTTGTCTTGTGCTTTTATAGTACACAAAAGACTCTTACTAACTATATTTAGTAGATAAGAGTATAAAATATTTAGATTAGAGGCATTTGGGTGGTTCAGTTGGGTATGTGTCCAACTTTGGCTCAGGTCATGATCTCACAGTTCATGAGTTCAAGCCCCGTGTCAGGCTCTGTGCTGACGGCTCAGAGCCTGGAGCCTGCTTCACATTCTGTGTATGTGTGCCTCTCGCTGCCCCTCCCCTGCCCGTGCTGTGTCTCTCTTTCTCAAAAACAAACATGTTTGAAAATGTTTAAAAGAGTATAAATTATATATTATACTAACCATATATTGTTTAATTTTATTTTTAGGGAGTATTGTGAAGGCGTAGATTGCATAATGCTTGAGAGTTCAGTTTAAAGGCAGCCTCCTCCATCACTTACTAGTCAAGTTGCCTAGAGTAAGTTACTAACCTCTCCAGGACTTTTTCCTAACTTATAAAATGGGGATGTTAATAAAAATAACACCTACTTCATAGGGTCATTTTGAGGTTTTATTTGGTACGTACATAAATTCTAGAATACTTTTGTCACATACTAAGTGCATAGTAAGTTTACTATTATTACTTTAAGGTTGGGGGTGAGACGGATATTCATGAGAATTAAAAGTCACACAGCTAGTATATAATAGACCCAGAACTTGAACACTCATTTGCTGACTCCATTCCAATTCTTTCCACTACTCTGCAGAAAGGATATGATTTTTAAGTTGGTATTAGTTCTTTCAAATTACCATATAATATTGTTACTACTTT